GGTCTGGAATGGAATTCACCCTTATGGCCTGATTTTCAACCAAGTATTGGATAGGTGTAGGGAGTCCTGATGTGGCAATGAAGGATAATGCACTGGATCGTAAGGTCAACTTGAACCGGCAAAGTCAGCAGTTCAAACCCACCAGCCACTCCTCAGAACCTTAGACAGGGTCACTGTGAGTTAAAACTTACTGGAAGGCACTTAATAATAACACCAGTGAGGTATGCTCACCAGTCAAGATTAAAAGGGTAACATTTAATCTCAGGACGAGCTGCCCAGGGGTTGTGAAGGAAGGTACAATGGAAATAGGAACCACAGGGAGGAAGTGGGATAACTGTGGTTACATAGAAGGAATTGCAGTCATTGAAATGAAATGAAGTGAAAGATAAGATTTGTTGACTGTCAAACTGATCTGCTCTGTAAACCTTCAGTCAATTCACAATAAAAAGTTTCACACACACAAAAAAAAAATTGTGTAAAGTTTGATGCATGAGTTATTCACAGTGGAAAAAACTGGAAACATCTGAAATGGCATGAAATAATGAGGAAAATATACAAATATAGTTTGACCATAAAATGGAATTTGCTATGGCTTTTAACAGTTTTATTTGGAAAATCACTTAAATACATTGGAAAATACTCATTATAGTAAGTGGAGAAAATAATTTTAATCAGTATGTATTGTATTAACCACAAGTTTGTTTTAAAGTATGTGTGTGTTTGATAATATCCAAATCACAATGTTGACAGTAAGAGGAGGTAGGATTGCAAGCCTTTCTTTTTACCTTTGCATTTATTTTTTATAGTGAAAAAGAGTAAAGTTATAATAATGAATACTTTTTTATCACTTGAAAACTAGAATTAAAAAGAAACTTTTAAGAACTCAGAATTTGGTTTTCAACCTACCACTAAATAATCCTTCAACTGGGTCCTCTTATCCCACTTCCTAAATAGAGGGAATCCCTTGGGTTCACTCCTACACTTCCATTTTGTTTGTTTGTTGTTTTCTTAATTTGAGTCCTTGTGATTTTTTATAAAATTAATTCAGTTTCTGACTAGGATGACTCTATAATCCGTGGTTTCCTAACTGTCACCTGTTGTTCTCAAAATTATGAACAACCCCTTTGTTTTGTTTTTTAAGTTTTTATTGTGATGAGTGATAGTTTACATGGGAGAACATCAGCTTTGCATGCATTCTATTGTATTTCATTTCATTGCAATGATTACAATCCCCTCTATGCGGTCATCATTCAACAGCATTTGCTTCCATTCCCTCTGGGTTTTTTTGGATGTACATGGAAGCACTCAGGAATATGTAACCATTCAAATAACCAAAGGGCATTTCCTGCACGCCACCTCCCCCGTGCCGCCAGCACACAGACCCTCTCCCTCCTTGAGTCTAGAGCCCCAGTAGCTCCATCTCTCCACATCATCGTCTCTGCCTCCATCACTGGTGTCGCTGCTTCTCTGGATAGGGTCCTGCACTCTGCTCTTCTCCCTTGATGGTCCCAGGGTCCTCTGCTCCTGGACTGCAAGATCAATCATTCCCCTCCTTTTGTAACAAAACCACTCAATGGAGATTCTACCTTCCCCGTACCCTCGTACCCTCTGAAACTAAGCTCCCCCTTGAAAACTCCTAAGCCAGTCACTTCGTGGTTGTGTAACCTCTCTCCACTCCCCATTTTGGGTAGCCAATGTCTAAGTTGACCATTCTTGTCAACCCTGTGTACAGAGGGGGTGGGAATGACCTTTGCTGTAAATATTCATTCCCTCTCTGCTTTGTTTTTAAATGATGAGTTATATGGTTACTACACTTACCCAGTTCAAAATGTGTAATACCAGTTGCTAGAGATTATATTAGTAAGTTCTAGTGATCTGGATAGACACCATGAGTTTAACTTCTAAAGAGATTCATGAAAATAAAATACCTTTCTAAGCTTTATCCTGAAAAGGAATTAAACTGCCATGGATTCCTGGTGTGACACTGTGGGTTAATGCATCAGACTGCAAAGCCGTTTGAACTGCACGATCAGCGGTTCAAGCTCACCAACTGCTCCTAGGAAACACTATGCAGGGTTGATATGGGTTGGAACCGACTCTACAGCACTTAACATGAATGCCTGGAGACTTGGTGTGGTGCTGTACACCAGGTCTCCAGGCATTCATGTTGTTGTTAAGTGTCGTCGAGTCAGTTCCGACCCATATCGACCCTGCATAGGGTTTCCGAGGAGCAGCTGGTGAGCTTGAACCACCAACCTTGCAGTCCACACTGACTTTTCAGTCTAGCGTATTAACCCACAGTGCCACACCAGCACTCAGTATATTCACTGGGAAAAATGCAAAGCAAAGTCAGCCAAAGGAAGCGATACATTGAGTGATAACTAGAGGAAACCAGGCCCAAGCTTCCAAGAGTCTTCTCCCAGTGGAGTCATTTAAGACATACTGAATTCTTTCAGCAACAAGTTGTAACAACACAGGTGGAATGTTGTCTATCACAAAGCTCATTAGAGGCTCAATACCCAGGGATTGTATTTGGGCTGGCCACTTAGGCACCTGATGGGCACATGTCAAAATTCTGGACTTCTAGAAGGAAAAAAAAGTATTCACCATAAGCCATAGTATTTGCACATACAGTTTACACCTGGTGAGTCAGTCTTATTAATTAGGATAGTCGGAACCCTCCCCAAACCCAGGATCCAGCAATACATAGCAGTCAGACCTGTGGTGTAAGTAACACATCTACACAGCTCTATGGAGTCCTGGTGTGGCTCTGTAGGATAAGCACTGGACTGTAAGTTCAGTTTGAACCACAAGGTCGGTGGTTCAATCATACGAGCCATTCTTCAGAAACCCTATACAGGGTCTTATATGAATTGGAAACGACTCAATGGCACTTAATACAGCTCTGTTGACAAAAGAGAATCCTTTTAGACTCTAAAGGTGCCCCACCATTTTAGTTTGTTTCCATGTGCTAGGTCACACAATCACTTGCATTACCTTCTAGAACATAAGTTAAGCTATTTATATAATCTCGTAATATAATGTTGTCTTGAAGCCTGAAAATAGTCTTGTATTCCTTAGACCCAGTGTTGTACTGAAGCTAACTCTGGATACCTAATTGTGTATCTGTTTCGAACTCCCTCATTTAACAATGGATTTGTAGCTTGCAACTGGACAGTTGGGGAGTATTTATGCCACAGAAACCAGAAAATGCTGCATACCATGTTTCATAGGAAAGTTAGACAGCCAGTTATTAAATATGTACCAGACACCAACCTATACCTCAGTTAACAACATACCATTCATTCTTACAGATAGTGTATCCCCTAAGTGATGGAAAAACAATACATAGGGAAAATTGATTTTGTTTTTCTAATATCTTTGTGACTAAAAAGTTTGGGACCCAAACACTGGTTTAAGTGTTATTTACATGTATTGGTTTAAAACCTTGGAACCCTCAACCTTAATTATAAAAAAAAAAAGTTGCTTTTATAATATTTATTTGTATAATTATATTGTTATTTTTAAATAAAGTTATGGTGCTGAGAGGCCCATGCTGGGAAACATAATTTGATCTTTTTTTCTAGCTATTTTTATGTGCGATTACTATTGTAAAATGGCTCCTAAGCAATTTTCTATTCCCAAATTGTTGTTGGCGAATGCTTAGTTCTCCAGAATGCCCATTCTTTTTGCCTGCTTTTAGTAATATCAGCTGGCAATGAGGAGTGTGAGACTGAGCAAGAACAGTAAATCATGCTTCTGAATTGAGCCAAAGTCAGAAAGAGGGCATCTGAGGATGACAGTAGTCATTGAAAAAGGAAGAGAAAGAAAGTCAAAAATAAAATGAAATTATCTCAAGAACACTCATCTGCAGTCGAAGAACCTTATTACAGTCAGGAAGAATAAAAGTGCATGGTATTGATGGAGCATGATTCACCACGAATGAGTTTACTGTTGCCTCTGTTAACAGCACTGTAGGATACATACTGGACTTCGAACCACAAGAACAGCAGTACAAGCCCACCAGCTGTCCTTAAGAACCCTATCCAGGGTCACTATGAGTCAGAACTAACTTAATGGCACACCTATTAACAGTGTTATCTTTCTGGGTGTTTATGTAATGGCGTGACTTTCCTGCTTCATATTATCAGGTGTTTCTCCATCAATTAAACTCTGAATTCATTGTGCAGTGTCGAAGATGATAATAAACAGCAAGATGCCAACATCACTTCTCATTCATCTCCATGTGTTTGTGTACTCTGCAGCCATTCTTTCAAACTTTTTGTCTTTTCATGGGAGTGGCTGCTTGCCTTTTCTTTCTTTTCTGCAGCCAGTTTTTTCATCTAAGACTCAACTCAAAGACCATCCCCGTTTTCTCCCCAAATTTAGTCTCTGCTTCCATAGACCCATCTACTGATTTCCACATACATATAAATTACCTTTTAATTAGTTTTTTTTAAAATATAACAAATATGTGCTTACTCTTTTTTTTTGCTTGCCCGTCCTACTCTATACACTGCAAACTCTTATGGGAAATGGACTGGTTTTCCTTATTTCTGTATTCCCATGGTTAAAAGAAGGGTGAAGGAGGGACTAATTTTATTGTTTTAAAAGACTGAAATAACACAAAATTAATTTTCAGTGAAGATGTCAAAGTAGAAAAGATGTTGAGTCCCTCTCTGCATAGAAAACAAAAGCATCCAGAATCACTTCCTGTGTCATGATTTGCCTGTTTTTTATATTATAGGCTGATACACAGATTGACCGAGAACATCAAAACTTTTATGAAGCATCATTAGAGTATGTCTTTAAAATTCAAGAAGTTCAAGAAAAAAAGAAGTTTGAATTTGTTGAACCGGTAAGTTATAATTTCTGTGTAAGATAAGAAACCCCCAAATCGTATTTTTAAATATATATATAAATAGTATTTTTTGTGTTGAAATGCATTTATTTATTTTTTAATAAAAGGATATGCATTACATGTAAATGAATACACCTCCGCAGTAAAATGAGCCATTTACCAAATCTTTAGGTAAAGAGAAGAGGCTTAAGGATATTTTTATTCCTCTTTTTCACCCCTATTTCTTGCAAGGCTGGCATCTGCCTGACTTTCCTATGAAGTCATTTATTTTCCTAAATCAGTGTAAAAGTCATTGATTTCCTAATGTAAACGGCATTATAAAAAGGGACAGGTGCTGGTCTTTATAAGCTTATGTCATTTTCTTAGTATTTTTTTTTCCCCAAAATGGTGCTGTAGGATAAGCATTAAACTGCTAAACTCAAAGTTGGTGGTTCAAAGCTTACCAACTGCTCTGCAGGAGCAAGATGAGGCTTTCTACTCCCAAAATGATTTTCAGCCTCAGAAACCATATGCAGGGTCGCTCTGAGGCTTTCTACTCCCAAAATGATTTTCAGCCTCAGAAACCATATGCAGGGTCGCTCTGAGGCTTTCTACTCCCAAAATGATTTTCAACCTCAGAAACCCTATACGGGGTCCAGTGCTTACAGAGTTGACTCGACTGTGGATGTGGTTGGTTTTGGGAAATACACCAATATGTCATTGATGTAGTGCTGTGCCATAAAGCACTGCACAACAATGTTGGTTTGAGCCACAAGGTCGGTGGTTCAAACTCACCAGCCAATCCTATACAGGGTTGGTAGGAGTCAGAACTGACTCGATGGCACTTATCAACAAAATAAATTACTAGATTGCCTTGGTGGACGTCTTTGTGAGTCTTCATCTGTGAGGAACAGATTTATGTCCTACAGTCAAATGTAGTTGTTGGTAAGTGCCATCGAGTTGGTTCTGACTCATGGTGACCCAGTATAGGGTTTCCAAGGAGTGGCTGATGGGTTTGAACTGCCAACCTTGTGGTTCAATCTAACCTTGCATTATCTTGCAGTACCACACCAGGAATCCGGTTGTATAAGCTTAGTTCCCATGAGTTGAGAGGACAAAGAAAACAATAAATGCATTAGTAATCAAATATTTGATTTAAGGAATCTTTACTTTCTAAACAAGTTTTTAAGAAAAAAATTTGTATCTAATAAGGAATAAAGTATCCTGTTATCATTTTGATGGCGGTGATAGCAAGAAAGGAAGATAATTTTTAAATGTATTTGACAGAATTCACTTGTTGATGGAAACTCAATAGTGTGTTATAAGTATAACAGGAGTCTGAGATAGAATGGAGATTGCGGATGGTCAGCAGGCCCTGCGTGGCTCTCTGGTCCTCACTCCTTTTCCTTCATGTGCAGTACCTGCCACCTTCCAGTAAACCAGGCATTTGGCAAGTTTTATGACCAGCCCTTCAGCTAGAGGGATTTAAGGCTCAGGGATTTAATTTTTGCCTTTTACCTGGACAATACAGTTAACTTCAAGTCTATGTGCCAAACAGCTAAACCTTAAATACACACCTGATTGCAAGCCACAGGGCCACAGTTCATGTGCACCAGCTGCTCTTTGGCAAAAGATAAGGCTTTCTGCTTCTGCAAAGATTTGCAGCCTTGGAAACCCTATACAGGGTCGCTATGCGTTGGTACCAACTTGACAGGACTTAACAGTAGCAACAATATAACATGTATTTATTGGAGTCATGATGTGGTGCTGTAAGATAAGCACTGGACTGCTAACTGTTAGGTCAGCAGTTCAAACCCAGCAGCAGCTCCTCGGAAACCCTATACAGGACTACTATGAGTGGGAACCAAGTCAACAGAACTTAACAGCAACAACACAGTGTAACTTATTAGCTGTTTTAAGACTCTAATAAAGCTTTATATGACTTACAAGCCTTTTTGAAGCTCACGTGGGGTTCATGGACAACTAGTTAGCCTATTGTTGATCAAGTGCTGTTTATTTGGTTCTGACCTATAGTGACCCTGTATAGGGCTTCTAAGGAGTGGCTCCTGAGTTTGAACTGCCGACCTTTCGGTTATCAATCCAGTGCTTTATCTTACAATGCCACACCAGGACTCCACTAGTCAGCCTGACAACCCCTATTCAATACTTATTACTCCTCCTGCCCTCCTCATTGAATGGTCCTGCGTCACAATCTTACCATGGTTTTTGTAGCTTTATTACATAATTGGCAAAAATTTCCTGCCTAAGGCCTGCCTTTTGGGATTTCTGCTTTCAAAAATTTCTGACACCTGACTCTCAGAGTTCCCCCATTAATTCTAATAGTTTTACTTCCCACTTCTCCTTTACCTGTTACCCTCACCTTCCAATGTTCTGGTGGGCTGCTGTGCTGTTCTTGCACCTGGAATGAACCTTTCACATCTGTACAATTTCTCAGTCCTGGAGGGGTTGTACCGGGTGGTCTCTGCCCTTCAAGTCTTTTATAGCCTGACCTGAGAGCACTAAATAGGCCATTCTGTAAGATGCTGTCAGATATAAAATTGTTTGGTCACAGTTGGTAGATGGAATGGTAAGAATTTATAAAATCTGGTGATAATATATAGAAAGGAAATAAAAGCTGTCATTTAGTGGAAATGTGTTTTCTTCTTTCCCTTTCCTGTATCCCAAACTGGCAGATTCTGACATGTCCTTTGTAATACATGCCTTTCTAGTGACACCAGAAACAAAATTAATGTTAAATTTGTCCTTTGTGCAGAATATTCTCTTGGCTGCTGTATTTTCCTATTAGACTGTCTGGCCAAACCAAATAACACTGTCAGTTTAGTCTCGGTCTCCTTTCTCGTCTCAAAGCCTCATCCATGGGGATTTATTTCATTTCCATTTCAATAGTGAGAAAAATGGAAATGAGACCAATGAACCATGGCCATATTGGTGTTTAGGTTATGCAATGACAGATTAATCAGAAGGGAAAAAAACTCAGAAAATTTCAGAAACAAAGCTCCTAGGAGCTATAAACAGGACAACACATGCGGATACTTTAGTATCTTTGAAGTTTTTATTTTGTAGAAATCCAATTTCTGTTTACAGTTGCAAACTGTAGAAATCTAGCAGTCTATTCTAGTTTTAGGAGTCCTGGTAGCACAGTGGTTAAGCACTCAGTTGCTAGTCACAAGGTCAGCAGTGCTAATCTACCAGCCGGCTCCTCAAGATCAGGATGTGGCAGTATGCCACATTGCAGCTTTGAAAATCTGTGGGTTCAGTTATACTCTGTCCTATAGGGTCTCTGTGAATTGCAATTGACTCAGTGATAACAGATTTGGTTTTTTTGGTTCATTCAAGTTATAACTTAGATTAACTTTAAAATCAAGTGATATAAGGCTTTAAGTTAAAATCCCAGACATGGAATTTATTTCATACAGATTGTAAGATTTCAAGTTGGGGGGGGGGGGTAAAAAACAAAACCATGGCCATCAAGCTGATTCCAACTCATAGCCACCTTACAGACAGTTTCTGAGACAGTACATGTGTATGAACGCAGACTGCCTCATCTTTCTACCACAAAGTGCCTGATGGTACTTTAAACTCCAGCCTTGTAGTTAGCAGCCCAAAACCTAATCCACAGTAGCAGCATGCTCCTTGGAAAATATAAATGTTGTTGTTATTAAGTGCTGTCAATTCAATTCTGACCCATAGCAACCCTGAGTAGGGTTTCCAAGGAGCAGCTCGTGAGCTTGAACCACCAATCCTGCAGTTCAAATGACTTTGCAGTCTGACGCATTAATTAGCCCACAGCACCACACCATGACTCCTAAATAGAGGATGTAATTTATATGAGGAGCCTCTGGATGGTGCCAGCTGTTAATGTGCTTGACTGCTAACTGAAAGATGGGAGGTTTCCGTCCACCCATAGGGACCTGGGGGAAAAGGATTGGCAATCAACTTCTGAAAAATCAGCTCTTAAAACCCTCATGGAGCACCATTCTACTGACACACATGGATTCACCATGACTTAACGGTCAAGTCTATGGCAACTGGTTAATTCATATAAATAACATTTTTATATTTTAAGATACTTTATTTTACATAAATCTGAATTGTTTCATTCACTTTCAGTGTCCTACGGCTTGTCATAAAATGTCTATAAAATATAGAAATGCCATTGCAGATAATATTGTTATGTTGTCATTATTTTCCTCAGAAGCCCATATATGTTGCTAAGTACCATTGAGTCAGTTCCAACTCATAGCTAACTTGTATAAGGTTTCCAAGGGGTGGCTGGTGGGTTTGAACCATCGACCTTGGGATTATCAGTCCAGTGCTTAGTCCATAGCACCACACCAGTATTCCAAAGCATGTAATAAGAGGGGACGTTAAAACATTTGAAATAAATAATTTATATATTATTATTGTTAAAATACACTTTAAAAATCAAATCAACTTTTTTTTAAGCTCAGTTTTCCATGTTGTTGTTTTCTTAAGTGCCATCAAGTTGGTTCTGACTCATAGCGATCCTGCATAGGGTTTCCGAAGAAGTGTTGGAGAATTTGAACTGCTGACCTTGTATTTCAAACTGATCTTGTGGTCCAGTGCAATATCCTGCAGCACCACACCAGTTTTTCATAAGCTATACAGAGGAAATAATACTGAAGGAAGAATGATACTGCATGGTTTAAAATTAGGAAGGATGTGTGACAGGGTTGTATTCTTTCACCATACTTATTCAACCTGTATGCTGAGCAAATAATCCGAGAAGCTGGGTTACAAGAAGAAAAAACTGACATCAGGATTGGAGGAAGACTCATTAACAACCTGCGATATGCAGATGATACAACCTTGCTTGCTGAAAGTGAAGAAGACTTAAAATACTTACTAATGAAGATCAAAGACCACAGCCCTCAGTATAGATTGCATCTCAATGTAAAGAAAACAAGAGTCCTCACCACTGGTCCAATAAACCACATTCTTATCAATGGAGAAAAGATTGAAGTTGTCAAGGACTT